ACATTTTTCTCTACGCTGAACTAATTTTCTTCAAAAATTTTTAAATGTCTTTTCCAGAATACCCACCAGTCGGAGTTAGAAACCATTCGCCATCACTACGAGCACCAATTAAAAGGAATGCGAGAACGTATTGAACATGAAGAGGCGCGTCGACGAAAGCTGCAAGAAGAACTGGTTCAGATTACGGTAAGTATTTTCCTGTAGATGTTTGTGGGCATGACGATACTGAAGAATGAATCAAGGGCTAAATTGTTAGATGATCAGAAAAAAAATGAAGGAAACTCGATCTGCTTCTTAAGATTGGCCACCTTTTTAGGCTTGCTCTTGGTCCTGTCATTATAGGTATTTTTGAGTGCCATAAATGAAAACAAATAGCGCGGCTCTACATGCGGGCACTTGGTGTCGATAATTTTTCTGGGTATGCGCCACGAATTTTACATCATTTATAACTGTAATGGCACTTGACTGCAGTTTGATCTGAACAATGACTTGCGGGACCTACCGATGGACATCGGGTTTTTATCCCGTTTGTATGTGATAGTGGTACCTGTAAAGAGGGCTCCCACTCCTTTCCCGCTTCCCGTTTCAGGAATAACTGATACCAAATGACCGGCAGTGAAGGGATGGAAGGTTAGCCTAGGCGAGTTCGAATGCCCGAGGTGGGGCGCACACGTGGTATAGACGGTGCTGATTGCGCCCTCGTCACAGGGCTTTGAAGATAACTTTTGAGCAACAATTCTAGATTGAATTGGTGGAGCAGCGGTCGATAATGAAAATATGGATGTCGTACAAACTGAAAATGTAACAAAAGTCGAAGCACACCGTAGATGAAGCCATTAACAAGCACCTATTTACTCTCTTCCTCCTTTGAAACAGGGTGGAGGCGTGGCCGGACGATTTTTCTGAACTTGCTTGCTCCATAGCCTCACTCATCCCCGCGTATTTGAATTAACATTGGTCACACGTCCAGTCACGCGATCTCCAGGGCTAACAAGTAGGCGTGACCAAAAGGCGGACGGACCAAAATTGGGGTGCCCACCAGGAGGCCCGTCGCGCGACTAGAAGGCAGAAACGCAGACGGATCAGCGGACGAGTCGCACTGTGTGATATGAGGCGTACTATAGTGCATTCTGTCAATCTTGACGCGAAATCGTACGACTGCGTCTTGTCCGCTGAAACGTCTTCGCCTCTTCCTAGCCGCACGACGGCTACCTGTCGGATACCGTCAAAATTGGCATCTTCAACTCCCCATAGTGAATTTTCCGGGGATATTTTTGCCTCAGTGACACTCCATATCTTGTCAATTAGAGCCCATGCATTTTTTTACTCGACTAGGAACAGTTATGTAGATCCATCTGGGGTGTTGCTTTAAATTCTATTTTGCCATGTGCTCTTATTTCAGACACGAAACGATCAATCGTTGACCACTGTCAAAGCGTCATTCGAAGATGTGTTGGAAGAACAGCGAAACGGATTCCAAGAAGAGATGGAGCAACTCCGAAAGGAGCATCAACGGGAGTTGGACGAGGAGAAAGCCGCCACCAGGTTCGATTTTCTAATCATTTTCTAGTATCTCAAACTATTTTCGGTTCTCCTCATTTTCATAAAGACCAAGCAATCCTGCACGGACTTTTTATTGCCACGGCTCCTCACAGGGTTTTGCTAATTTTCCAAGAGAGAGTTCTATGTGTTCAAATTTTGCAGACTAGCACTGGAAGCGGTTCGTCGAGCTCATGAAGAAGAGCTGAAGCAGGCGACGTCGAAGAAGCCAAATGGAGAGAAAGATCGCGATGTGACACGACAGAAGTAAGTCTTTTTACTGGTCACTCCACTCTCTCGTTCAGAAGGCCTCTTGTGCTCAAAAGGAGTTCGTGTAAAAGCCG